TGGAGGGTGGTTGGGAGGGTTCAAAGGAGAGAATGCATTAAAGTGCTTAGGAGAGAACCCGGCACATGAGAACTCAAGGATGGTCAGCTACAGTTAGGACACTTGTGAGCGGTCTGAGACGGGCCTCAACAGTTTTCCCAATGTGGCCAAAACCAACGTGGCCATTTGAACTGGGGCAGTTATTTCAGAAGAGTCTTATGAGCGGATGTATTTTCACATGAACTTGGGGAACCTGTGACTGAACGACACTCAGCCCTCGTATCAGTCAGCTGTGGAGGGTCATGAGGAACGTTACTCGGGCCCCTCGTACCACAGAGATTTGGTCAATTTAGAGGTTCAGGAGGCAAAGTGACCAAGTCGGTCAATGGGTGAACCAAGTCCAGTCCTCTCAGTTTCCTACAATTGAACACAGCACAGAGGATGAGGGCGGCCTCTCCCAGGTGGATGCTGTCGGGTACGGCTGGGAGTTTTACACTCGAGGAGGCAAGTCCTGGTGGCCTGGTTTTCCTACACTCTACGTTGCTGGGTATCATTCCTTCACTCTCTAAAAAACATGAATGCCACTGGCTGACGGAGCAAGTAACTGTGCAGAGGGCCATCATCTGGGGAGCATCTCCCTACATTATTCCAAGGGAAGCGATTATTTTTATTCAGTACTTATATGCTTGAAAGAAGCCATCACTATGTTTACAAAAATATATCATAATGATGCATACCGCTGTTTAGACACATTTACATCAGAGTTCTGACTCAAGCGTTCGAGTTGACATGTTTTGCCAAGAAGTTATGGCAAGTGTTGCCACATGAAACGTACACCAGCAAGACTTGCACCATATGTGCAAAATCATTTTTCTATTACACTTCTAGAAATCTGTATATGAGAGCTGTCAAAAATTATAGATCTGTAGTGTGAAATGACATACCACTGAATGAGAAAAGTTCGGTTTAAATCTTTTCTAAAAATAAAGTTACCCGAGAATGAGATCTTAACAAGCGACTGAAATCTGAGAAAAAACTAAGGAGGTAGTCAGTGGGCAGCAGGTTGAGATTCTGGAGCACAAGCTGTAGGACAAAATCCAAATGAGGGCAAATTTAGGTTTGCTTTTCTGAAAATCGTGCATGTTTCATCTCACATGATGCCCCATCCATTTTCTGAGAGCAACCGGAGGGAGGACAAGACATGAAAGGTGGTAGGAAAATGTAGAAATCACGAACCTGCAGGATCCCAAGTCTATACTTTTGTCTAGACTTGGGGAGAATGTCTGATATTGTAAGAATAGCTACTGGGCTACAGAAACCATTCCACACATCTGACACAAGGAATAGTTGGATCAAATAATACACCGTAACAATTTATACCTCTATAATGCTGATAAATCTCTTAGGTCAATGTGTTTATCCACACATCTGACACAAGGAATAGTTGGATCAAATAATACACTGTAACAATTTATACCTCTATAATGCTGATAAATCTCTTAGGTCAATGTGTTTATGGCTGATGAAGGGCCAAGAAAGATCCAGAATATAAATTCACCCACGTGCTCTACAGCTGTGAAGTAGCCGCATACATCTCTCAGTTCCCTCACCAAAGGAGAGGGCAGCCATTTTTTTGCACACACTCTGTCACTGTCCTCCTCCATTCCCTAGTAAAACCTTAGGAAACACCAATGGTGACAGGAACCTGAACCCTGCGGCAGAAACTGGGAACGCTAACAGAGAGATGCCCAGGTTTCCGGGCCAGATGAAATACTTTCAAGTAAAAATGGAAGGTATACTCTTCCGCATTTACAGATTTCCTCAAGCATTTAACTTAACACTGGGCTGACTAAACCATGACACTGTGAGCAGCGTACCTTCCAGAGACTATGAGAATTGTGCTTCTAGTAAAACTGCTCCCACAACAGTGCTCCCCTCTGCAGCTTCCTGGCCTACGTCCTCTGACATGGGCCGCGGGAGGGTTGTCCCGAGCCCAGTGGAACGGCACCTGGGCCTTCCTGTCAGTTTGAAAAGCAGGCATGCTCTCTGTGATATCGTCTTAATTTGGGAAGTCACGAGACACGTCAAGACACTGTCACTGTCGAGGACTCTCCCGATCACCACGCTCAGGGAACACACCTCGGACAGGTAACGATGCCAAGCCACGCCCTCCGTGCCAGGCCAGGCCTGGGTCCTCCCTCTCTCACCAGGGCCATGGAGCACAGCTGCGTCCTGAGTGGCTTTAACTTGACCCATTTTGTGCCAGTGCTAAAATGACTCAAGGACGATTCTACAAGCTGACACGAAATGAAGCTTCTAGTCACGAGCAACCTGTCCAACTGCCAACAAAAGGTAGAGAATCAACTCAAGAAAATGAGCAGCCCCCTCAGGTCTCCAGAGATCAACAGGAAGGAAGACAGAGCAGTGACAGCATCTGGGCTCCTTGGGGGTGAGTTTTTACAGTCTTGCTCTGTCGAGGGCACACGGGTCTCACCACAAATCCGTCAACATCCTTTGAGAGCCCTGATCTGAAAGTGAGGTGACCATGAGGCCCCCACCGTGAAGAAGCCGGAGAGCTCAGAAAATGGCCCAGACTGCACACCGAGGAGAGGAGATGGTGGGTGTCTCTGCAGATGCTGGGCCGCGCCCCCAGGGACTGTCAGTGTGCGGCTCAGGTAGTGGCCAGGATCACAAGATCTAGACAGACAGACAGACAGACACACACACATGGCAAAGAAGGTCATGGAACACCTGACCCAGGGCAACTGACCCTAGGCCCTGGGTCCAGGAGAGGGATTCGAACTGGCTGTGCAAGACTAAGGAAGCCAGTGATCTTCCTGGGTCTTGGTTTCCTCAAGTGCTAAGAGATGGCCAGCATTGTGGAACACTGGAAAACAGACGCTAGAGAAATAATTCACCCAGAAGGCAGGATGGGAGGGAGACCAGGTGTGCCTGTGGAGCAAAGGTTGTGTGCGACCCTGTAGTTTGGGAGGCAGATCTACCCTAGCAGCCTTCTCAGGTGATGCTAACTACAGCCAAACTGAAGGCTCCCATCACCCTCTCTCACAGCAGTGGTGCGAGCCCTTTTTTTTTTTTTTTCCAAATATTTTATTTATTTATTTGACAGACTAAGATCACAAGCAGGCAGAGAGGCAGGCAGAGAGAGAGAGGAGGAAGCAGGTTCCCCACGGAGCAGAGAACCTGATTGGGGGCTCAATCCCAGGACCCTGAGATCATGACCTGAGCTGAAGGCAGAGGCTTTAACCCATTGAGCCACCTAGGCACCCCACCAGCCCTTCATCTTTAAGCACCCTTCATCTTTAAGCACAAGGCTATGGAGAGTGAGGGCAGAGATGCTCTCATCAAACCCCTCAGTCTAGACCAGCACAACACAGAGATCTACGATGACGCTTAGATGGGGAGACATGCCACACTTTTAAGCTTGCAGGGACGAGAGGAGTTTTTTGAGCAGTGGTCAAATACTGTTGCTAAAGGGGGGAAAAAAAAAAAAAGGACGTTGTCCTCAGTGGTAAGGATAACTAAAGCCTAATGCAAAAAAGACAAAGGTAACATGCTTATGGTGACAGTTTGCGTCAGACCAAGATTTCTTGTCACCAAAGGATCCTGTAAAGTATTGACTTCTCAGACCTCTGAAAACTCCTTGAAGAATCGCTTTCTCTGTCTCTTGGTTCCCCTAACCAACATCACATTTGCTCTTATCATTTCCTTTACTCACAAATGTTAGCTGACTTGCCCAAAACAGGATTCTTCTCACACCACCGAACAGATCAGACAAAGGACCATCTCTATAACATTAAACTTTTCAATGGATGAAACTCATAATCCTAACAAAAGCTAAAGACGGGCCTATTCCCAGGACCATGCATATAGTTGATGCTAACTATTGAACATAAAGGATAATTTACTGTCTCACAAAAAATGGTTACAAAAACCTCTTTATAAATGGATGCTCATGAACTTTAAATGAATTTCCAACCAATTTTCAAAACCCTTAGTCATGTTGTAGACGACATTAATAGCCTTCAGTAACTTCTGCCCACTGAGCCCTAGGCTCCACAAAGAACGTAACAATCGGATTAAATGCGATAGAGGAGGCTGCTCCCGCCAACCAAACCAGAAGTCCTCAGAAACAGATTCTGGTATCTCCATAGTTTGTACGTAAGGAATGCTCCCGAAGACAGTAGTCATTTCACAGAAGGAGCTCAACCAATTAAACTGGAGGAAACAAGTGGGAGTGGTTTAGTGTGAACTTAGCCAGAGCTTGTAGTTCAAGGGAACTACAATGGGGGGTGGGGGATGGGCGGGAAGGAGATGCCAAACAGCAAAACAGTTGGGATGAAACATTTTCATCAGTGACAATAAGAAACAAAAGTTTATGCAAATTCTAAAGATCTACTCAGAGAAAGACCCTCACATTTCAGAGCAATTACAGACAAGCCCATGGCATAGTTGTCAGAATGGCCTTGAAACTGTGTGTACGCAATTCCCGAACATCTGGTCAGTTCAGTGAATACCGTCAGTCGCACCACTTGTTTGGTCTTCAGTGCGCCAAACAGCCGAGTGGTTAAAACGCTCATTGCTCAACCCATCACTTTGGCGTTGCGTCAACAAAGTCTGAGTTAAGGCTATGGAAACTGTGGGTCTATGAACCTACGAAATCAAGCATTTGAAAAGCGTTTTGGATCTTTGGAGATTTCTTGACTGACAACGAAAACTTACTGTTTGTAAACTCCAGAGATCATGTAGTGCCTTTCCGATCAACATAGTAAAAATTTTTTTTGGGGGGGGGGGCGCTAGTGGATTCTAAAATAACTGAAAAAAACCCCACCTGATTTCCAACGAATCATTGTCTAGCAGTGACCTCTTTTCTCTGGGTTTTTCAGAGGCTTTGTCAATGCTGAGACAGCACAGTGTCACTTAGCCTATGTCTTTGCTGAGAAGTAGGAATTCAGGTCTTTGGAAAATATAAAGACAACTTATTTGAATTAAATTAAGTTCATCGTCCCTTAAAATAACTCCATGTCTCTGTCTTCTCTACTCTAACCCGGCCTTCCATGGGGACCGGCTCTGCTCGGGAAGCAGAGCTTACGTGAAGGTTTCGGACACGTGACCAGGAGCTCCCCTATTGTTTTCAGCCTCACTGTCTAGCTAGCAATCAATTCAACGCAATTGTGGTTCTTTGCTTTTTGTAATCTCCTGAAAGCCTGTTGTAGGTTCCACAGACTTCCCAAACAACCCTAAAATGGATTTCTGTTTGGGAATGGTGGCAGTAGGTCAGAGACTTAAGGTTTGAGATGTGTCAAGTCTGGCAGAAGGACGTGCTTTGGACTCGCAGGTGAGGGTAACAGGATGTGGACAACTGGAACTCGTGAGAGGACCAGCTGCTCCAGTGTCAAGATTCTGTCCACTAATCCCCGGACCCATCCTGGGAATTTTTATTGAAGACCTCATCCTGGGAAGCCTGGTGGTCGATCCCTTCATAGAACGAGCCGCCGTTGTGCAGGAAAGTCCCCACCGCCCGCCCCTGCCGGGCGTGCCCCACGGCGTCGCTGAACACTTTGTTTATCTGCTCCTCCGAGGGCATCCACCAGTCGGGATTGGAGGTACAGTGCATCCTAATGAACTCTGTGGGAATATACACAACAATAGAGAGAGAGAGAAAAACAGCTGGTTTTTGCAGAAGAGGACGGACAGGCTGCTTACACATTTACAGAAGCTCTACAAGAAAAGCTTTATGGGAAATCCAATGTAATGCTATGATGATGTCACCTCTTAGACTCAGCTGATTACATGGAAGTCGTCTACTCTTGTGCAAAAGTAAAAAATCACGTGAAGCGAGAAGGTGATCCTCTAAGGAACACTGGCTAGTGGAATGAAAGGCAGAGCTGATTTATAACATGGACTATACACCGTGGAGACAAAGTCACGGTGCATTTCAAACCTACATCGTATCTGCTCACATCTTTAGAATTTTCGGTGTTTCCGGAAACAGCCGATCTCACTAGCATGGTGTTCTTTGACCAGCTACTGACTGGCAGACTAAGTTCCACAGGATGACAAAATCTCAGGGGCTGAGAAACTGCCTGGATTTTGGTTCAGAAGAGGTTTCCACCTCTTCCACCACGTTCTTTACGTGTATTATAGGTCCTACTTATTTCTCTGATTGGGATATCCACACATGCACTGACAGATATTTCTTAAATGAGATTTCCTCTAAATATTTAATTTCACCAGAAAGCAATTAGCATGTATAAAAAGGAACCAAGACTCCGACGAGACAGACTCAGCCTCCCTTTGGGTCAGGCTCATGCGATCCTTTCTTCTGTTTTCTCAGGGGGTCAGGGCACGTGTAGGACTCCTGCCTCGCTATTTTGATATGGACACTTGTAAACTGAAGTGAGCATTTTGGAAAAAGTTCTGTCAAATTCCTTTTTGCACAGCTGACTGGGCAGAACGGTCCAAGGGGACTGTTAATTACACACCGTTTCTTCTCCAGCCCTGCTCCCTCTACAAGACAACCGGTCCGGTTGTAGGGCTGGAGCTGTCTGAAATGACTGGGTGAAATCCCGGCCCTACTTGCACTTAGAAGAGGCTGATGCTGTTCAAGTACCCAGACCCCAGCGATCTCAGGAACTGAACCGTGCCCATCTCCACAGGCAGCCTCTAGCTTAGCAGAGAGCCAGGGACAGCCCCTTCGATTCTGTGCCTGATGTGAGAGCCTTGCTCGCCTCACCGGAGTCCCAGCCTGGCTGCCTTACTCAAGGGAATGAACAGTGTTTACTCCGCAACTCATCCTGCAAAACTGCTGGAATCAGACGGCTTAGCTTAGGGGGCAGGCCTGGAAAACACTGCAGGAGAACTCCCTAGTCCTCTTCTGTACCCCTCCCACCCCTACTGTATTCAGTAGGTATCCACTAACTGCTGTAGTTTCCCCGTCTCTGATCCGCCACTCCTATCAACACAAGGAAATACGGGCTAATGGATGAGGGCGCCCTGACCCCGCACCTCTGGGACCGTGCTGCTCTGTGACGCCTGTCCGCCTCCACTCTCCTCTCGGTGACGGCTGCCGACACAGGGCCTTCTCTGATACTGTGGCACAGACTACTGAGAGCTCGTTCTGTTACACAGACAGGACGCGTCTTCACAGGCCCTCTTCCCCCTAGGGTCAAACCACCTTCAGAAGTGGTCAGCCTGGAGTTTGGTTCCATCCCAAAGCACCCCATTTTCCATCACTAAAGTGTCCAGTGTCTGAAGTTTCCTTGGCTGCTCTCATCTTGCTCACCCAACATGGACCTCCACCCCAGGAGCCTTTATGGAAGGAATCTGGGTCACAGGAAGGCCCTAGAAGCTCAGCTTTGGGGACAAGCCTACAAATGTCTGGCCCAGCTGCCCCCACACAGACCACCACTGTTTTCTGCCTCTGTGTTCTCCACCCAGGGGCATCCTCCACCTGAAGGCCTGCAGGTGTGGCGCCTAATGAGGCTTGAGCTGGAGGATACAGATGCTGATTAGCCCACCTGGACTCTACCCGTGTCACAGGGGGTCAGGCGACGTTCTCAGGGCAAGGCATGAGGGTTTTGGGGTGTATGTTAATCCCTCAGTTTCACTCACTCGCTGCTTAAAACGTAAAATGTTGAGTAACAATTTCTGGAAAGGGATACAGTGGTGAGGCCTCTTGCCCTGACTCCCCTTACAGGCCCCAGAGCAACTTCGTGGAGTACAGTGTTCCCAGGAGAGCCCCAAGCTCACAGACTTCCCTTTTACTCTTGGGGGAGTAACTGTCAGCTCTGATGCTGTTGAGGAATGAAGGAAACTGTGGCGAGTTCGCTAAGACAGACCCTGGAAATCCCCATCACCCACTGTGAGTAAGCAGAATTTTCAGACCGGCCAACAGGGGGTGCTCTGGATGCCTAGCTGATTGAGGTGCTTCCATTCCAGATGGTTCCCTCAAGGCCGGGCCACCTGCGCTAAAATCACCCGAGGGGTGGGGGGGAGGGCTATGATGAGCAGCAGTGCACGCCTCCCCCTTCTCCAGCTCCAGCCCTGCTCAGTCAGAAGCTTGCAGTGGGCCTGAGGAATTTCAGCTGCTAAGAGAGTCTCCCTGCGCCTCAGGCAGACTACTGTTGCAGAACACCGCGGGCATCCCAGGAGGGGATGCTGGAGTGTCCTTGCTGTACACCAAGGCCTTATCAGCAATAATGTCTCCTCACTGTGACTTCCTTGCCAGGAAATATTTTGCTCCCCTGTCCGGAGTAAATTTTTTCCAACCAATAAAATTACTATTGAAATACACAGGTTAGAACTTGAGCTTTTTGATACGAAATTTTTCAGGTGTGAACAGTGTTCCTGTTGGCCCTCGAATGCTCTACCTGTCTGAGGCTGTGTTTCTCTGCACCCGCTGAACCAACTGTCTGCCTCCTGACCCTCGTCCTCGTCCTCTGCCTGGCCTACCAGTGTGGGTCAGCTGCGAAGTCCTCAGCTGCTCGAACTGAGGAAAGGTACCATCAGAGCAATATTTTTAATAAAGAGACTTTAAAAAAACTAACAGAATAAAGTCTGACTGGGCAACAGATACTTTAGGCACCCCAGTATTCAGGAAAATTAACTCTAAATAAATCAAAGGAGTTGGGGGCAAGTCCTCTTGAGAAGGTAGCTGGGGGAGGGGAGGGGGGGCCCAGGCTGCAAACGGAAACGAGGTCTCTCATTTTCCTAATTCTTAAAGAGCTCCCCATCATCCCTTCCTCTGTCTGATCCCCCACGCTCCAGGTTGGCTAGATGGGGCCTTCTGTGGCAGCAAAGAAAATCGGAATTCAAAGCGTGAGACATGAGGTGCTATGCAATGTTTATGGGCCGGGAAGTGAGAATGCCAAGGCTAAAGCAAACGGAGATTTTTTAAAGAACTTCTCGATACCGAGTAGATGGGCCACATGAAGCCTATAGAGGTCTCAGCGGGCAAAACCAAAATACAGTCAAGGCTGAACACTTGCACGGGAGAGCCACAGCCAATGCGGTGAAATGAGATCACAGATGGCGACACTGAGCGGAAGGATGCAGTACCTCGGAGGCATGTTACTTTAACTGGATCCAGAGGGCGTCTTTCAGGACCTGTCTCTCCTGACTGCACTGACCTTTTCCTTTTCCCAAGGCCGCATGAGTACTTAAGCTCATCGGTTGTGAAAACAAATCTGATGAGATATCGAAGGAGCCGTCGCCCGTCTTTCTTGGAAGAATTTACAGCCTCGTCCCACTGTTTGCTCGTTATGTAGACAGGATAGTTGTTCAGCAGCTGCTTGCTTCCCTGGAAAAGCCAAGTATTTTCTCATTACTACTTAGCCAGCCAGGCCAGCCAGCCAGTGAGCTGGCCAGCCGGTGGAGGCGATCTCCGTTTCAAAGGCAAACACGCTTTTTAACCAAGTGGCTCGGCTGACAATGAACCAGGTATTGAAGAGCACAGGTAATTGCTCACACTCAGAACGGGCACTTTTCAAATTACATTTGCATTTTCTGTAACAAGAGCCAATGAGGTATAATGAACACCTTTGAAAGAGGAGCTATTTATAACTTGCATTTTAACAGGTAGGTTAAAATGTGTCAAGATCCAATGACAGGGAACACTATTTAAATATAACCCGTAACTTTCCCTTTCAATCTATTCAAATATGCAAAAATGACTTTGAAGAGTGTGATCAAACAGGTCTCTTCATCCTCTGGTTGGCGGTTAAGTATTTTTAGAAATGATGCTGGTGGTCTATTTTCGTAAGGTACCACTTGTGTTTAATTCACCGAACACCCGATAGCCATCGTGTAACAGTGGAAACGGCATTAAAAAGTGAATTTTGAAAGGGAGGGGGATTGCAAAAACCCCCCAAAAAGTCATCATTAATAATAATAATAACGCAAACCAGGTTTCCTCAATGATAGCTTCTGCAAATGCCACTAAGTCAACTCAAAATTTTTCTTCCTTTTCATCTTCTTAATTTATGTCTGCTATAAAATTCCCAGGCTCAATTGCAGCAGTGGGACTAATTACAGGAATTTCTGTAACATTTATAAGCCATGTTTAGTCAATTCCACCTACACAACCATTACTTTAGTTCTGGTTGTCCATAAAATTCTACAGTCCAGGACAAATTAATTAACCCATGATCTCAGTTTTAATGTACTCCTTCCCTAGTAATTAAGGTGTACAAAATAAAGAAGGAAAAACTCATTCAGTTTTACAACTCTGCAAATTTACTCCAGGTGATAAATTTGGTGCTGTTTGGGTCTGATACGGTTCTATTTCAGAAAGTGCTGTTAGCAAAGCCCTGAGAAGGGCCAATGGCCCAGCAGCCGACAGGGAGGAGGCAGCCCGTTTGTGCTCTGAGGTGGTCGTGGAGTCCCACCCAAGCAAAGTCACCACCCTAGGGTCCCACTTCCTTCAACCAGTCATATGTGACTCAGTTGCCTTCTGAAGGGAGGCAGCTGAGAGACACGGTTTCTGCTCTGAATTTAGAGCAGCTGGAGTTGGAACTGTATCTTGGTTCAGGTCTTATTTGTGTTTCTTGAGTAAGTGACTTCAACTGGTTGGACCAAAGCCTCCCTGTTTGTAAAACAGGAAGAATTAAATTATCACGGGTTTAAGATGTGAATACGTGGGGGCAGAAACCAACCCTTGGCTCTGGTGCTATGATCAAAAGATGGGCAAGAGCCCAGAGGTTCCAAACTTTCCTCAGCCGAGGCTGCCTCTTGACCGCACGAAGGGCGAGCTGGGCTGTGGGGGCGTGCGGGGGTGGACGACAGAGTCTGTGGTAGTGCAATGGAGAAGCAGGGAGGAAAGACGTAGAATTCAGTGAGCCAGGCTGTGGGGGACAGAGGAGTCAAGGTGACTCCCAGGTGAGCTGGGACATCCTTCCCAAAGAGGAGGAACAGATGGGCACGGCGGGGAGGAGAAGGCTGAGAGCAAGCAGGAGAATTCTCCTGCTTCCTACGCACAGGGAACAAAGAAGGGGTTACGGAGTTCTGATTCGCTGTGCCCTCAGTCCTCAGGGCAGCTGGGGTAGGGGGGCCTGGGGAAGGTGGCATATAGGACTGGGTGCCTCAGACCCCAGGCTGTGTCAAGAGTATTTCTGTGGAGGAACATCTCTAGTGACTGTCACCATCTCCTGAGCCAGCGATGCATAGCCTGAGGCCAGCCCCCGGTGCCCGGCAGCCCCGGCCTCTTTGGCCCTCACAGGGGTGCCACTGGTGCAAAGGCAGAGCTGGGCTGGGGGGCGGCCCCCCTCACATCGGCACTGCAGCTGTCAATAAAAGGACGACAATCCCAGCTTGCAGGTGTGCGGGGAGGAGACCACCCGTCTCCCCCCACCGGGAGATAAGCCCAGGAGGGCAGGGGTTTCCAGTCGGCTTCACTTGATGCTGTGAAGAGCTCTTTCTTTTCTTTCTTTCTTTTTAAAAGATTTTATTTATTTGACAGACAGAGATCACAAGTAAGCAGAGAGGCAGGCAGAGAGAGAGAGGAGGAAGCAGGCTCCCTGCTGAGCAGAGAGCTCGATGCGGGGCTCGATCCCAGGACCCTGGGATCATGACCTGAGCTGAAGGCAGAGGCTTTAACCCACTGAGCCACCCAGGCGCCTCCGGAGAGTTTTTTCTTTCCTCTCTTCTCTGTTCTACTTTTACTGCTGTGCCACTTGGACAGAGCTTCTGATGAATTATTAATTGGCAAAATTAAAGAACTTCAAGGAGAACAAAGAAAGGGGCCATTAAAAAAGGGGTATTGGGGACAGAGAGCGTCTGTCCGTCCTTAGTTTAAGACCATCTTCTCAGTTATGGTTCTTGTAAGTACACCTCAGTCTCAGAACTGCAGCCCGAGCAGCTGGTTGTTAAACCTTCTATTTCTTTAAGGTTGTGCAAGTTTTTTTTAAAGATTTTTATTTATTTGAGAGAACGAGTGAGAGTACAAGCAGGGGGAGGGGCAGAGGGAAAAGGAGAAGCAGGCTCCCCGCTGAGCAGGGGGTCAGACACTGGGCTCCATCCCAGGATGCTGGGATCATGACCTGAGCCGAAGGCAGATGCTTAACTGACTGAGCCACCCAGGTGCCCCTAATGTGCAAGCTCATTGGGCAAGACAGGATTCCCGCAGAGGTTTGGCCAAGGATGTTAAATCCTTTCCCAAGGTCTCACAAGGCAAAAGCAGAGCTGGGAACTTGGTCCCGGAGTTCAGAGCCTGCCCTTAAGACCAGAGTCGAGTCCGTTTCAGGATGAGAGCTGTCTGAGATGAGGGAGCTCACAGCCCAAGGAAGGAGCTTTCTCGAATCCTTAAAAAGAATCCACTTCTACAGAAGAGCTCAACAGCTCTCCATAAAATGAAAGTCTCCATAAGTGTAGAAATACCATTTGGAGGCAATTTTTGTCAAGAAAAAGGAAAAGAAAGAAGAAAGTCATTTACAGCCTCAAACAACTCAAATGCTCCCTGTTATGGACGAGATTTACCACACTATTTAAGCATAGTTAACAGAAATAAAATGTGATCAATAATACTAATGAGAAAATGCCCATGTGCCTGAAATGACAGTAAAAACAGCATAATAACAATGATGATGGGTAATAAAAGCTTAAATATTCCTATCAGAGGAAATGTAGATCTGTCACCTATTTTTATGTTTCTATAGAATCCTGATGGCATATTCTCAATTAGTCACCAACAGGTTATTAAACTTTGATCTATGAGTCACTTGGAAGAAACCAAAATGAACAGTGCTCAGTAAAACTCAGTATTTAAACTCACAAACAAATGGAAGACCTACGCATGCATTAATATTTAAGTAAATTCTGAATTACTCTGTGAACACAGAGAGGGTATGGCAATCAGAGAGAGCTTCTTGGAAGAAGTGGGCTTTTTGGAAGTGCTTTTTTTGCACAATAGAAAGGTCAAGTTCAGAAATGTGGACCCTATTCTAGGCAGCAGTGAAAGGATTTTAAATGTGTGACATTCATTTTGGATCCGTAGTTTAGAAAATTAACCTTCCAGTGTGGAGAAAGGAGAAGAATCCATCCTAATAGTCCAGGTACAAAGTGTGAGGAAGGAGGCAGAGAGAAGGGAGACTACTCATGGTAACTATAAAACAAGCAGATGTCAGGAATGAGGAGGAGCGAGGAGTCCGTGATGCCTCAGAAATTTCTGCAGGGGTTGGTGCTGCCTTTACTGGAGAGAAAACCAGGGTAGGGATGGGTATTCAGAGGCTGTGCTGGGAGTTCGAGGGTGCAAGGTATCCCACTGTTGGTCAGGCAGGCTGGAGACTGGTAGCCCAGATCTTGATCTGGGACTCGTTGACCTGCACGCAGCTGGTGTTCAGAGAAGAACACGACTGGGTGGGGGAAGGGCGGTGGACAGCGAGGGAAGGGGATGGAGGGTGGCATTCTGGACAACAGTGGATGGAAAACTCCTTACAGCAGAAGAAAGGACAGGGAGCCAGGAGAGAGTCCTGACACTGAGGCCAAGGGAGAGCATGGAGGAGGAGGATGAGGTCCTGGGGAAGACGAGGGCCGGAAGACGGGCCCCCACACGGCACATCTGGGAGAGTCACCAGGGCCACCTGCAGCGGACTCTGGGAAGCAGTCGAGGTGCAGCCAGATTATGGGGGGTGGAAGAGCAAGTGGAAACCAAGAGTGGAGTAACAAACACAGACCAGACTCGCAAGTGTTTGATCCCCAAGAAAAATGAGGTCACCGTTGTGTAAGTGCCTTCAACAACAGGCACCCGGGACGCGCGTGGGATGAGACTGGTGTCCCACCTTCCCGGTGCCAGATGCAGTGTGGGGCAGAGTCAAGGGCTGACAGAGGCTGCTGGGGGTGGGGGGGGCAGCATAGATGAAAGGACAGATGGGGTGGGGGTGGGCGTTGGCAAAGGGGAGTGAGGGGTGCTGCTTCCTGGATGGGGGTGCCAGGTGTTCAGGAAGGTAGAAATCAGTGTGGCAGAATTCACTGGATTGAGTTCTACCTGGTATTGCTTACTTTTTGGCTAAATTCAAGAGAGAGGGTGGTGGGACCAGGGATGGGGGCTGGAGGAAAGGCACAGAGACCTTCAAAATAGCTTCTCCAAACTTCAGGGGAAGGGAGTGATGGCCAGACAGGTCTCACGCTGCACCTGGGGGTAAGAGGGTTTCAGTGCATACCAGATTGGCTCCTGCCTTTCCATCCCCTGGTCTCTCTTACATGCAGAAATGTGGAAAGGAGCGTGTGCTCATACTTCTCCAGCAGGGGAGGCATGGGGTCAGGGTGGGAAGAGTAGGTTTGCTGCTGGATCTATGAAATGGTACGCACGAGGATGGAGCCTTGAGATGATTTTAATAGACATGGAGTGTGGAAGGCTATGTGATGATGAGGTAAGAGAGAGGGTCCACGGCCTGCCGTCACCAGCATGAACAACTCACCTTGCCGAGGGAGGGAAACTTAACTACGAGAAAAGAACTTATCTACTGTTATCAGTCCAAGATGTTTCTAACCCCGGCAATTCCTTCTTTCACTGGCTTTAGGTTCTGAAATTTGTAAGATGAAAGTAACACATATTCAAAACCGAGCCTTGAGAATCTTGTAGGAATGTACCATGTTTCCACTGACCTACCGCTCTCAGCAGAACGGGTCATCGCTCCTGCACTTTGGAAGAGACTGCAGTTGCTTCTATCGAGGTCCAGAGGAAGAAATGTTCTAGAGCCCAGTGTCTGGAAGACATCCACCTAACACTCGAGGAGCCCACTCAGTGTGGGAGGTGCCCGAGAGCAAGGCACTTTCTGGAACATTGGCTCTGCCAGAGAAGGGCAGCTTGGTATCTCCATTTCAGCCTTTCCTGAAAGCAAGCCTCCAGACTGGCCTCCACTGCTCGAACTGCTGTTTCTTTATGCGCCACCCCCCCGCCCCCGTCCGCGTACAGCGTTCAATCTTGGGGAGTTTGGGTACGTGCGCGCTCTTCCCCCACTGGTACTAAGAACCCCAAACCTCAGGGAGCCAACACTGTGTCTCACTAGCCAACGTGCTCGGGTGGACCCTGTACGCTATCAAGAAGCTCGTCTTAAGGAAACTTGGAGAGACTCACATCTCCCTTTTTTGCCCGACACCTACCTCGGTGGGCTGCTCGGCGGGCTGCGGGACCAGGAGCTGGTTGTGGTGCTGTAGCACGGTCTTCAGGTAATCCAGAACGGTCTGGCAGGGCACTGAGGGCAAGAAAGGGCGAGAATTACACAGGAGCTATCCTGTGACAAGAAAATGAGAGGCTTTGAGATTTAAAAAGAGTTTTGATGCAAACTTCTAAAAAAAAAAAAAAAAGATTATTTTCTAAAGGAAATGGAATCTTCTTTCTTTTGACATCCGTAGTTATTTCAGTTTGTAAATACAGAACAGATGCTACGGTTTGGGGAGAATTTTTAGGGCTCAGCACAATTCACTAAAAACTTTTTTCTTTTTTTTTAAGATTTTATTTATTTATTTGAGAGAGTGACAGTAAGAGAGAACATGAGAGGCGAGAAGGTCAGAGGGAGAAGCGGACTCCCCTTGGAGCTGGGAGCCCGATGTGGGACTCGATCCTGGGACTCTGGGATCATGACCTGAGCTGAAGGCAGTTGCTTAACCAACTGAGCCACCCAGGTACCCCCCACCGAACACTTTTAGGTCACAGTCACTCTGAGATGAATTTGGGTCAACAACCACTCACAGAAGAGACATTCTCTTGTTTTCTTCGACTCAAGTTGTAACATTAGCATCCAGTGATGCTTTTTAAAATCAAGGTACTGCAAACTAATGTTTCACTAGTTTTAAATCAATAATACAATACACATTTTTAAGGATGGATTCACTCCTAGCTCTGCAGTAAGCAGGAGGGCCCTGTGCTGTAAATCTGCTTCCCTACGTGGACACAGCTGCCCGGGGTTCCCACGTGCAGATTCAGTTATGGTATCTTTCGTTAACTGTTGCACTAATTTTCTGAAGCTCAATCTCATAGATTCATAGAATAATTACAATAAAACTGAACAGGTATTAACCCAACATGGAACCCTGACATTTTTTGTACCACTGCATAAACAATTCCTACATCTTGAGATTTCTATTAGAGCCCTTTCAGGAGCAGTATTAACTAATTGCTTTTAAAGGTCTTGGTAGCTTAGTTAATAACTAATTCACGGGAATAATTGCCACTACCTGTCTCAGCTGTGGATTTTCTTAGACTGTTTTTGTCACATTACAGAAAATAACAAATATTTAATCTAAACCCCAAATTTAAAGTATCACTGCCTTCTGCATTTTTTCTCACTTCTTTTTTTTTTTTTTAAAGATAGTAAACAGAGGTTACCATCCTTGTCCACACTGTTAAAAAGCTGGATTTTTTAGGTGTCATCACACTGTAACATAACCAATCAAAACGTACATCAACATCCCTTTGAAGAATATGAATGACACCGAGTATAAGCAGCTTAGGAATTTTTTCTTTTTGTCAAAAAAAAAAGTATTTTCTTACATAACCATCCTTTTGGACCTGTGTCTTACAGTCCTTGAATACAGTCTTCAAACTGTAAGTCTTCAAACAGAAAGTCAATGAAAAGAAGTCATGCATACATATTATCAGTTTGGAGTAGGCCTTTTGTCAAAGCAAAGTTCAATAAAACCTGTCAAGTACCTCTAATTTCACCAGCGTTTTAAAAGTTTAACCCCCATTTACCCCAAGGATACAAATGTAGGGATCTGAAGAGGAACGTGCACCCCTATGCTTACAGCAGCAATGTCCACAATAACCAAACTATGGGAAGGACGTATATGTCCATCGACAGATGAATGGACAAAGATGATGTGGTACACACCACAATATACAATGCAATACTTTCAGCCATAAAAGAGAATGAAATCTTGCTGTTTGCAACAACGTGGATGGAACTAGAGGGTATTATGCGAAGTGAAAGAAGTCAATCAGAGAAAGGTAAGTATCATAGGATCTTGCTGATATGAGGAATTTAATAAACAAAACAGGAGCATAGGGGAAGAGACGAAAAAATGAAACAAGACGAAACCAGAGAGGGAGACAAATCAAGAGACTCTTAATCTTAGGAAACAAACTGAGGGCTGCTGGAAGGGAGGTGGCGAGGGGTGACTGGGTGATGGGCATTAAGAAGGGCGCCTGTGATGTAATGAGCAGTGGGTGTTATATTAGACTGATGAATCACAGATCCATACCCCTGAAACAAATATATGTTAATTAATCACTTAAATTAAAAAAAAAAAAAAAGAAAGAAAAAAAAAGTCTAACCCATTTTACTGACACCACAGCGGGAAAGAATGACTCTTCCGTTAATGGCATTAACTATAGGGAAAAGCAGGGGTCCTGAGAAGCTAATGGAGACACGAAACTGTCTGCTGCTTGAGTTCTGGGTTTTCGTTCACTCTGTGGCTTGTGGGACCCCAGGAAACTTCTGTGTCTGGTGTCCCGCCCCTGGGGCTGCGTGTGAGGTTCCCAACAGCAGCACTTTGTCCTTCACGGTTTGTGGTGGGAACCAAACGCAGCTGTCCACATGCCAATGTTTGCCAAGTGACATGGGCAAGGTATTACTTTGGATTTAATTTGGAAGTTTTAGTAAAATTTGCAAATAACTCGCTGACTGATGAGCATTTGAATGAAACATCTTTTGACCCCTTACCCCCATATTTTATAGTCATGATGATGTTTATGAAGGGGTCCCTGGGTGGCTCAGCCAGTTAAGTGCCAACTCTTGGTTTCAAGCTCAGGTCATGATCTCAGGGGCCTTAGATCGAGCTCCGCGTCAGGCTCCGAGCTCAGCGGGAGCGTGGAGATTCTCTCCCTCCCTCTCCCCCTGCCCTTGCTTGCATGCACACACACGCTCCCTCAAATAAATCTTAAAAAAAGAATTTTATGAAGAAAATGTTTAAATGAAGCACTAAAATGCTTACAAAACTGAATATTCAACATGACCTCAACCATGTTACAAATAATTATATACCTAAAAAGATTAGAAAGAAATAGATCAAAGTGTTAATAATAATAATTGACAATGATCACATTTTAGGAATAGGATTAGGGTAGCTATTACCACCAATCTAATAGGATTAGGGTAGCTAAAACCACCAAAAAGTTTCTACAGGGGGCATGTATAATTGTAATTTAAAAGCTGACTGAAGAATGTTGATGTAATTGCTGCCTCCCCTTCCTTTGGCATACATTACCTTCAGTGCTGTCTGTATAGCCCTGGAAAGGCCTGGAGGCCAGCTCTCCCATTCTCTACACTCCCAGTGTTTAGGCAGCAGTGCTAAGCTATGAGCAAGGCCAGCTGATTCAAATGTTGGAAGAAAACGGAATTTTGTGCGCATTTACTTGCGGTAGGGGCAAGTGGGTCCTGTAGGGTGCTCTCCGGGCACAAGGCTAAAGGCCAGGAGGCCAAGACAAAGCTCATAGTTAGCCAGTTACAAAACAGAAACAGCCACTGGGCACAGCGCTGGGGCCTCTGAGTCACCACCCCTTTGGGCCCCCCACCCCTGGCTCTGATCCCCACAAGGCAGAGGCCTCCAGGCCCTGCCCAGGCCAGGGCTGGAGCATGTCCCTGCAGTGACAGATTTGGAGCGTCACTCCCTACTGTGGCTCTCTGGAGGGCTGCCCAGATTTTTACATGGGAAGCTGCAGAATCAAATGAAACCTTTCTGATGAAAAGAAAAATAAAGTCAGTATGGAAAGTAGAGATAGGGGTGTTTACTCAAGAGGGAAGGAAGTGGAAGGAAAGATAGTACCCTGACCCACAGCTACACCGTGCTGCCTTCTGGGAGAAGCCCTGGGCACTGAGAAGAAAATAATGGAAAACCTCCTGTCCTCTTGCCCTGCTGTCCTGTCAGCCCGTGGCTCCGTGCACATGCTGTGGACTTTCCCAGTGGACTCAGGGATCCCCGGAGATGAGGAGCAAGGGGCCTGTGCTTCAGGCAGGATTCCTGCAGTCCAGGGCAGACACTGCGCCTTTGGCTTTCAAGGGATGAGATGGTGAGGTCAGGGCTTCCAGCAAAGGAGCAGCAGGATCCTCAAGGAGCTGATTATGCCCCAGATGCCTTCCCATCTAACTGTGTCCTCATGCTCATTCTGAATATTAAGCACGTCACTCTTGCTGATGCAGAAGCTACTACCTCAGGCCCAGTGGGTGGGTTTCATCTACTCACTTACGCACTCTGCAAAGGAAAGGCAGATACACCTAGCAGGTTTAATGAGACAATACCCGACGAACCAAAAACTGTAAAAACTTCTATTAAAGGGAAAGGAGAACAGAAAGGTACCTCAAATGTTCCTAGTATCAATCCTGATATCAATAATTACAATTTCTGCCACCTGCCCACCCCGTAATAGCATTTTAGAACACATACCAGAGAATCTTGGGAAGAGCAAAATGACTGGGAGGAAAAAAGCAAGTTAGGAAGACCCTTGGTGTCAATAAAACCTGAGAGAAATGGGTTACAAATGCTCTACTGGGTATCTAAGATATCTAGATGAATGCGCGACTCTCAGAAACAGATGGGCCCCCTAGCCTGGATGGCTTGATGGCATCATAGTCAGGGTTCAGGTCATTAAAGCCACACAGACAGGGTTTTCGACACATTCTCAGGCAGTAAATATCACTTAGCGGACAAAAAGACGTGGAAATGGGTCCTAAAGTAATTCTTGGGTACTTTTTTCTCCTTAATGTACTTCCTCTGGCACTAGGAACTGTCTGATTCTGGGCAAGTTACTCAGCCTCTGTTACCTCATCTGTAAAATGGGGATAATTACCCACTGTATATAGTTATTGTAAAGCAGAAAGTGCCCAGTAAAGAGTGCCCAATGTAGGCTGGTCTCATTTTATGAGTAGGAGCCTAGTGAATTCCTTGGAGGTCACTTAACGGACTTTGTTGTTAGACTAGAAAGTAAAAACTAGAAAGTTCTTCCCAGGAAATCTGCTCCAATTCTGTGTTTTCCCACATGAAGGATGCTTGGGTATTGAGAATCTAATTTTCACTGCAGATCATCACATTAAAATCTTGATCAGGGCTTCTCATAGCATTAATTACTCTACTTTGCTATATCACTGTTTTTACAAAATACACCATATCTATGATTTTAGAGGGAGACTGAAATTATTTACCGTCCTCTGAAATTATTTACCATGCCATCTATGCGCTTGTATCATCTTTAAGTGTC